CTTCCTTCCTTCCTTCCTTCCTTCCTTCCTTCCTTCCTTCCTTCCTTCCTTCCTTCCTTTCTTTCTTGAAACATCTGTTAACCCAAACATTTCCCCAAATAAGCGAGTGAACTTCCTGCCTTAATTATAACGAGGGCAATGCGAGAGGCTAGCCTCTTTCACATCCATGCATATGGAGGGTAGGGTAGAGACCGAGAGCACTAAAAGCTTCAGTGGCTGATAAGTGTCTTGCTTAGATGGTTCGTAATTGCTCTCAGTGTTTGGTGGCGGGGTGCACATACACAACTCACAACACACGCAACGCTTTCTTATTCCTAGTGCCACAACAGGAAGAGCCGAGATTGTAGGACACAAGTGAATTGCATAATTTTCTCTCTCTCTTCCTCCCCCCCCCCATTTTTTTTCCTTTCTGGCCAATTTAAAATTTGTCAGAGCCGGTCGTCTTCTGGATCACTGCCCTTTGATATTTCGCGCACTCCATTTGCCACAAACAAGCCGCAGGGCCGCGGTTCATGCTGACTCCAGCAGAAGTGAGGAGCGTTCCATTTATCTTACACCGCCTGCTGTATACTTGCTCATTAGCTGGGGGTTCACTGCCTCTCTTAACCCCTGAATGGCTGCCATCATTTCTACCGAACGGCTGTTTTGTAGCAAGGAAGGGGGGAGAAATGGCCACATCCGTGCCCCACTTACATGGGGCGGAGGGTTGGCTTTGTACCGGGGGGGGGGATCGGAGGGCAGTGCCACGTCCTTGTTCTGAACCTTCTGAGCTACTGGGTTCTTCCCTACATGGTGGGGGGGGCAGGGGAGCCATGTTGGTGGAGAGGGTGGCGGATATTGAATAATGTGACACAGATCTGCTCATTATCCATTTCCGAGCACTGTAACTGAAATCTTTATTAGTTTTGTGTTTATTAAAATGTCACTCAATGTTACACCGTGTTGAGTCTCGGCATAAAGAGGAGAGCCGTGTCACAGGGTGGGGGAGAAGACTCTCCACGTCTCGACGTTAGGTTGGTTAAACTTTGTAGGAAGCCTAAACCTCACGCAGTTGAAATGGCTGTGGAGTGTTGACTTTGCATTTTGAGGCATGAAGCCACGTAGACTTTTTAAAAAGGAAACACATAGCTTTGTCCTTTGACCAGTTTTGTCTCCAAGAACAAATAACCAGATGTAGAGGGGAAAGTAACAGCAAAGCCAGCATTCAAAACGATCTTGAAGAGCGTGTGGAATGGTCTCCAATCCAGCACTCATCCCGGCGTGCTTAATTCAGCGCCATCAACCAGATCCCTATCGTCCGCTGGCCTTACACGAATTAGGTAGATTCGTGGAAACAGCTGTGTGTGGTGATGGTGTGGGGCAGGGGGCGACCCTGCTCTCGGTTTGCAAGAAGGCAGGATACTGAAACTCTTTGAATGAGTGGGAAAGCGGGGACATGCTGGGGGGGGTCATCCCCCTCCTAAAGACAAGGGCAGCACCTGAGTGGCAGGTGTTGGTGGCAGGGAGGAGAACTGGGACAGCTTCACCCCCATCAGGCTTGAGGGGGCTCTGACTTCAAAGCTACCACCCTCCTCCTCGAGGGAGCGAATGTCACAGTTCCCTGCCCTGTGTGACTCCTGGGAGGCATTGTCTGTGCATTCAGGGCGTTGGACTCTGCATGGCCCAGCAGAAGAGAGCGCGTGTCTTGCTGGCTGGAGCAGTTGTCTAATCGTCAGTGCTGCAGAGGGAAACTTTGGGGAGGTCTGCAGGCTGGGCCACTGGTAAAGAGGACTGTTGGCTGATTCAAAGGCTGTCTGGCTGAGGGTGCTGTGCCAGGGTGTGTTGCTGAGCACCCAGCAAAGTGTGATTCTCTCTACCCTCATTGTCTGCATACGGGAAGTGTGATTGTGTCTGAAGAGCACAAACTTCATTTTCAGAGACAGCAACACCATCTAACTCTGTCAGATGCTGGGGATAAGCAGCAAGACACAGATATTCCCATCATGCATTGCGTCTGTCTTGCTTGCTGTTGGTAGATGGGATATCCAGCTATTGGGCTGATGGTCTATTTCTGCCTGGCATATTTGTAAAATTAAAACAATATTGCTTGTTCACCTTTATTTGCTTGCTGTTCTGTTTGCCTCATTTCTAAAACAGAAGATACTTGCTTTCTTACAAATAGATTCTGCCATTGATTTCAGAGTGACTCAGGTATATTTTGATGGTGGTCAGCAATGTGGGAGTTGTGAGAGTCAAATTGTGAGAGTACAAAGAGAAAAGTGACTCTCAAAGTGATTTTTATTTGTCTTGGGACCAGATCTTGGACAATATAGCACAAGGATGTACCCTCAGCAGCTGCACCTGGACTATGGTTCCCCAACCTTTTTGAGCCTGTGGGCACATTTGGAATTCAGATACAAGGTGGTGGGCGCAAGTACAAAATGGCTGCCATGGAAGGTGGACCCAGCCACTAAATGGCTGTCACAAGAGGTGGAGAAGGCCACAGGAAAGGCACAAGAGGAGTAATTTTTAAAAAATACACTGGGAAAGAGCAAAGAAGAAGAAAAGAGTTGGATTTATACCCCGCCCTTCCCTCAGTCTC